AAAAAGCATATACTCTAGCCCTTTGAATTGTCTTTCCAGCCCCTTTATTTTTATTAGATATTTCATCACTATTCATTTGTTTCCTATTTTACCCACACACAAAAATTAAGCTCCATAAGGATTAAAAATGGGGGGAGAGGGGGCATTGGAAAGATTGTACAGCTGGTAAGGGTTCGATCCCCAGCATTCCATATGGTCCCCTGAGCACCACCAGGAGTATTTTCTGAGTGCCGAGCTAAGAGTAACCCCTGAGCATCACTGGGTGTGACCCTAAAACAAAAAAATTTTTGACTACTTTTTGGAGTTCACTAAGTTATTTATATCACCTTTAATGATATGTAGTGCCTTGAAGTCGATCAATAGTTTTTCCTAAGTCAACAAAAGAGTGAATCATGATACCTCAACAAAAAAATTTTATTTTAATTTGAAAAAAATATTTGTGAAAGAAGGACTCATAGTTTTGGAATAAGTCAGTTCTGAGTTCAAATTACAAATCCACTCTAAGGGGACCCAGACCCTCCAGATAGTCAAGCTGATTTCAGAGCATGTGGGGCCCAGGTGATTGAGTTTAGGATTTATGCTTGCCCCAGGCACTTCCTGGGACACTGAGATTCCATTGGATGTCAGACCTCAGCACTGTCTAGACTGCCTGAGTGTTTGTGAGGCATCGGGATTTAAACTTGTGGCATTATTTTTTGCTGAGCAAGTGCTTTAAGCTTCCCAGCCATCTTCTGGGCCCTAGGAAGCTGTTCCTTTTGTGAAATTGTGGACAAATTTCTTACTTCTTTATATAACTACTTTCCTCTGTAGTAAGCATGGAGTACCTATTTCAGCTAGTGATTGTTAAATTTAAAGACCAAATTGTGAAATTTAAAGACGGATCTGCCTACATTGTTCTTTTCAACTCACCTCCTTTCTGCTCTCAATTAACAGTGTTCTTTTTTTGTAGTGAGGCATTTGGTGGATTAAACCTAGATACCTAGATGTACTAAGGGATTACTCATGGCTCTGTGCTCCCAGATCACTCCACACAGTGCCTGGGAGGAACCATAGTTGGTGGCAGGGATTGAACCGGGATCATGCACATGCAAGACAAATGCCTATTTAATCCTAAACTTTCTCTCTGGTTTTATCCTTTCTCTGTTTTGGCGGCTACAGAGGTGTTCGTGGCTACTGCAGACCTGATGCTTGGGTGTCATTCCTAGCAGTACTCAGATAACCATGTGGTGCCAGAGACCAAAGCTAGGTTTGCATGTAAGCATGCATTCAACCCTTTGATCTATTTTCCTGGTCTGTATTATCCCCTCTCCCCACCCACCCCCCATTTCTTTGTCTCTTTGTCTCCTTTTCTCTTTTTTTCTGCCATGTCCAGCAGTGCTCAGTGCTTACTCCTGGCTCTACGCTCAGGGATCACCCTGCAGACCTGGGGCACCATAGGACGGGCATGAAACTTAGGTTGGCATGTGCAAGGCAGACATCCTACCTGCTGTACTGTCACCCCACCCCGGTCAAAAAGATTCCTATGTAAGCATTTCTAATAGTTCAAAGAGATCTGTTTAAATAGTTTAAATAATTTCCTGAATTTTGGAGGTTTGAGTAATTATAACACACATGCTGTCCTCCCGTTGTTCATCGATTTGCTCGAGCGGGCCCAGTAACGTCTCCATTTTTTTTGAGACTTGTTGTTACTGTGTTTGGCATATCAAATAGGTCACGGGTAGCTTGCCAGGCTTTGCCGTGCGGGCAAGATACTCTCGGTAGCTTGCCGGGCTCTCCGAGGGGGGCGGAGGAATTGAACCCGGCTCAGCCGGGCTGGCTGCACGTAAGGCAAACGCCCTACCGCTGTGCTATCGCTAGGGCCAGAAATAGAACTCAGATAATTGAGCACATGCTCAAAAGCCTGAGGTTGGATCTAAGCACAGAGCAGGGAGTAACTCAATATCTCACCCCTGCCCCCAACAAGTATGCATCAACTCAGTGATAGTACATCAGGTAGTGTTTGCCTTGCACATGGCAGACACAAGTTCGATCCCAGCAGCCCATATGGTTCCCTGAGCATTTCCAGCCTTTGCCTGAGCACTGGGTATGGCCCCTAAACAAAAACAAATCTGTTTAAATTCACAGAAACTGTTCCAAGATGCTCCAAAATGATTAGGTCTAACTCAAAATTTCTTAAAATCATGACTGGAAGGTCTTTGACAGCGTTCATCCATCCAGGCTTAACTTTAGCTAAGGTTGTATTTCTCCTGCTGAATTCCCCACTAGAGGCTATGCTGAAATTCAGAGCATTTTTTTAGCAATATTTATTTTTTTACAAGTCATTAGCTTATTTCAATGTTGAATGTGCTCATCCAGCAAGTCTGTTTACTGTTGCACAGGATGACAGCGTGCAGCAAACAGAAGGGGAGAATAAGAAGGTGAGCACTGTAGGACTGTGTCAACAGAGCAATTCTCCTCAAATAAAATATTTTGCATTCAAAGGACTGGTAGTTTGTCCTTTTTTTTTTTTCTTTTTTCTTTTTTTTTTTTGAAGAGTGCCAATCTCTGCTTCCTAGCTGATTAACTTTTTTTTTAAAATTTTATTTTATTTCATTTTTGCTCTTTGGGTCACACCCGGCAATGCACAGGGGTTACTCCTGGCTCATGCACTTGGGAATTACTCCTGGCGGTGCTCAGGGGACCATATGGGATGCTGGGAATTGAACCTGGGTTAGCCGCCTGCAAGGCAAACACCCTACCCGCTGTGCTATGGCTCCAGCCCCTTTTTTTGCTTTTTGGATCATACCCAGCAACGCACAGGAGTTACTCCTGGCTCATGCACTCAGGAATCACTCAGGGCAGTGCTTGGGGGACCATATGGGATGGGATGCTGGGAATCGAACCCGGGTAGGCCTCATGCAAGGCAAACACCCTACCCGCTGTGCTATCTCTCCAGCCTCCCCTGATTAACTTTTTAAAATATTTTTTTTTATAGAATCACTGTGAGATAGATCCTTACAAAGCTGTTCATGAGTTCATGATTAGGTTTCAGTCTGACAGAGTTCCAACACCCATCCCTCCACCAGTGTACATTTCCCAGCACCAGTGTCCCCAGTTTCCCTCCCATCACCACACCCCCAGCCTGCCTCAATGGCAGGAACTCTACTTCTCTCTCTCTCCTTTTGGGCACTGTGGTTAGTGTTGTGTTGCTTGCTGAGTCACAACAGAAACCTAAAAGCACCCAAGTAAGAGAGTCACTCTCTCTAATGGCACTCTTCCTCTAAAACTCTCATACAAATGATATATATGAACATTCCTAAAAAAACTAGGAATTAAGTTTCCATATGACCCAGCAATTCCATTCCTTGAAATATACTCCAAGGGCCCCAAAATACAATAACGACATCTGCACTTCTATGTTCATTGCAGCACTATTCATAATAGCCAAAATCTGAAAACAACCCAAGTGCCCATGAACAGATAAGTGCACAAAGAAACAATGGAATATTACCCGGCCATGATAAAAGATGAAGCATGCAATTTGCTGCTACGTGGATTAGAAAGAATGGTGTTGAGTGAAGTCAGAGAGCGAGAGAGACAGTGATCTCTCTCATATATGAAATATAAAGAAAATATAGAAACAACAAATGTCCAAAGGAAGAGCTTAAGAACTGATTTTCAAGAGCCGGAGCACAGCTGGTAGGGCATTTTGCCTTGTGCGGCAGACCCAGGTTCAATCCCGGGCATCCCATATGGTCCCCCAAGCACTGCCAGGAGTAATTCCTGAGTGTAGAGTCAGGAGTAACCCCTGTGCATCCTGGGTATGACCCAAAAAGCAAATAAAAAAAAAAAATCCAACTGATTTTCAGCCGGCAGCTTGCCACTGGGGTGTGTGTGTGTGTGTGTGTGTGTGTGTGTGTGTGCGCGCGTGTGTGTGCAGGGGGGTGGGGGGGATGTTAGCAATGAGATTCCTAAAATGCAGTCCAGAGGCAGGCTGGAAGAGGGGAGGGAAACGGGACGTTCGTGGCAGGGATTGATGTTGCTGAAAGTCAATCATAAACAACTTTGTAATTCCTGGTGACTCAAGAAAAAAACATAAATAAAGAATGTAATGGAGGGCCACTCGTCCAGCAGCGGGTTATGTGCTTGCTTTGCATGCAGCTGACCTGGGTGTAATCCCAGGCACCATATATGGTTCCCCGCACAAGTCCCCAGAGGAGTGATCCTTGGGCCCCCAGAGCCAGGAATAAATTCTGAGCTCGGAGGGGTGTGGCCACCCCCGCAAAAAAAAAAAAAAAAAAAAAAAGAACAAGAAAAGCAAAGCAAGCAATACGAAGTCTCATCCACGCTAAGGTGGCTATTCGGTGGGCGTTTGTGGATGCAGAACGCGGTACGGATGCCCCTGGGAAGCGGAGTCCGGGCTTCCAAACCCGGACCGAAAGCGGCCCGCCGGTGCAGGGTGGAGGACGCTCGGGGCGGCGTCGAGTGGAGCTGCGCAACCGACCGCGCTGGTGCTCGCGTGGGCTCGGCCCGGCCCCGCCGCGGAGTGCAGCCTGCGCGCCAACAGCCCCAGGCCAGTCCCGGTTTCCACGCCGGACGCCGGAGCCCGGCGTGGCGCTGACCTGCCGCCACCGCGCGCTTCGGAGGCAGCCGGGCCTCCCTCGGCCCTCGCCGGCCCCGCACCCCGGCCCGGGCGGCCGCTGCGGACCTTGAGGCCAGCACCTGCTCGCTCGGGGGCCCACGTGGCCCCTTGTGCCCTCACAGAGCCCCCGCCGCCCCCGCCCCGCCGGCCCGCGCCGCGTCACAGCGCATCCGGGGGCCCCGCCTGCCCCCTCGCCAGTGCGCCCCGCGGCCGGGCTTCGCGCAGCTACCCCGGGCCCCGAGCGGCTCTCGCCGGCGCCGCAGTCCGCGCCCTCCCCGCCCCGGCCGGCCGCGGCTCCCAGCACACCCCGCCCGGCGCGGGCGGCGGCGGTTCCCGGGAGGCGGCGCGGCGGCGCGGCGGCCCGAGCATGCGCAGTGGGCAGGGCCGGCTCCAGGCGCAAGAAGGAAGCGGCCGCCGCGATCCCGGAGCGTCCGCTGGGCTATGCGGAACGGGCTCGCGTGGCTGCTGCATCCCGCGCTGCCCCGCACCCTCCGCACCCTGCTCGGCGCCCGGCCGCTGCTCCCCGAGCGCCTGTGTGGGTAAGCGGGGCGGGCGCGCCGGGCCCCCCCCCCCATCGCACCCCCGCCGCTGCCGCCGCCCCCCGCCGGGGCCCGCGCGGGTCACCGTGTCGGGGAGCGCGCCCTGCAAAGTGGTGATTCAGCACTTGGAGCCGCCGCCGCCGCCGCCCCTCGCGCTGCCCGTCCCGCCGGCGCGGGCCCCGGCGCTGCCCGGGCGGGCGCGCTCAGCGGCCTGGCCACCCCGCGCGGGGCGTCGCGGAGGGGCGGCTTGGGGGGCCGGGACCCGAGCTCTCGGGCCGCCGCGTGTGTCCCCGGCGCGGGGATGGGGCCGCGCACCGGGCACCCCCCCCCTCCTCCCCGCCTCGGCCCTGCCCCGGGCGGACTCGTCGCCGGCGCGGGGGTCCCGGAATCCGAGCTCCTCCGGAGATCGCTTCTCCCCGCCTCGCACCTCTGCATTTTTTAGATTTTTTTTACCCCCCCCCCCCCCCCCTTGGAGAAACCGAGTCCGCGCCAGTCCTCTCCGGACACGCCGGCGCGGGGAGGGAACTGAAAAAGTTTGCCAGCCCCAGCCTTGGGGAGTCGGGGAGGCTCGGGGCTTCCTGTGCGCGGGAATCGGGGGCCGGGGGCGGCCGGAGAGGTCGCCGGGGGCCCAGCCCAGCACACCTGGGACACGCGCGAGGCCCAGGAAGATCGTGCGGCTTCTCCACGGTGGCGGGGACGTGGCCAGCCCCGGGCATCGGGGCGCGGGCCGCTGTGCCTGTCCAGCCGTCCGGTGGCGTCCTCGCTCCGCCGGCCGCGGGGCGAGGCTTTTGGACCGCGGCGGCCCCCTCGCGAACGCCCAGCACCCCCCGTTCCGTGAATAGAGGGGTGGGCAGAGACGGGCAGTGTCGTCTTTCCCCCCACCCCTTTGGTGCGTGTTCTTGAACCCTCCCCGCCAATCCTCGTCTTTGATACAGCTAGGACCTCCCGAATGCGGGGCGCTGGACTCGCTCGGACCCCCTGGTGTAGGACGTGGCCTTCTGTCAAGGAACTTTGGCTGGGTTTGGAGCGGATCGAGATGCTGTGATTGGCAGCTAAATTTATCTCTCGCCTCTGCTGCATCCTGAGCCAAAGGTGGGCAGCGTGGGCGGAGCCTGTGCTTTGGCAGCACTTTGTGGGGCTGAGACGGAGGGGAGGAGGGGGTCCGGCTGGTCTCTGAAGGATCCCTGGTGGGGGTCTGGGCAGATCTAGTCCACTTACGGTGGCAGTTCGTGCTGGGGGGACGGTAGATGAGGCTCCTTGGATTTCCGTGGGGGTGGTGTGGTGAGGGGGGAATTTGGTTGCAAACAAGTCCTGCATTATAAAAGTCGGATAATGCTGGCCAGGACTTTTTTTTTTTTTTAAGTTGGGCTTTTTTCCAGGGGAAAGGAAGGGAGCCATTAAAAGTTTTTGAGCTGTGGCATAATCTGCTGAAACTGGTAGTTTAGGAAATGAGTTTGGTGACTTGGTGGTGGATGTCAGGAGTGGAGAGAGAACCTGAAGCTGAGAAACCGGTTGTTAGGCCGGTACTAATGGTACTAAGGCCTAAAGGAAAGAAGTAAATCTGTGGATCGTGTTTTTCCTCCTCCCTCCCAAGACATGCAAGAAGGTTTCTGAGCTTAAAGAAATGGGGTTTGTGAGGATAACCTGGCCCTCCTTCAGTTTAGTTCTTTTTTTGGGGGGAAGGGTGTATTTGGGCCACACCAAATGTTCAGGGCTTACTCCTGGCTCTGTGCTCAGGGATTACTTGGCAGGGGCTGGAATGCCACGGATCTAACCCAGTCTTGTGCAAGATAAGCACTTTACCTGCTGTGCTATCTCTGGCCCCAAGAAAACCATCCTTTTTTTCTTTTTTTCTCCCATCTGCTCAGGGGCAACACCTGGCTCTGTGCTCAGGGGACCAGATGTTGTGTAGGATTCCAAGTAGGGTCTGGATTGCAGTTACATGCCAGGCAAGCGCTTTAACCTTTGTACTATTTCTCTGGCCCCAGAAAGCCATTAGTTTTCATGTATTCTGCACACAGTTTGCTTTTCTCTGTGGTTTTTCTCCCTCTTCACTGTCTCAATTGAAGTCCAGGACTCATTGAACTAACTTTGCTCTTGGGGGCAGGGGAGGGAAGGAAGGGGTGAGTGAGAGGGAAGGAGGGAGGTGAAGGGAAGGAGGGGAGGGGTGAGAGAGTGGAAAGGAGGGGGAGGGAGGGAGGGGAAAGGAGAGAGAGAGAGTGAGAGAGAGTATGCCTCCCCCAACTGGTTGGTCCTCCAGGGTACACCCCCAGCACAGAAGTGAGAGCCAGGAGCCTTGTGAGAGTCAAAGCATAGTGAATGAGCTATCAACCTATCTACAAAATTTGACCCTAAAATTTGTGACTAGGTCTAATAAGAACAGTGGTTTTAGGGTGTAGTAGTTTTTTTGTTGCTTTTTTTTTTGGGGGGGAGCCTCACTAGCTGTACTCAGGGCCACGCCTGGCTCTGTGCTCTGGGATCACACTCCTGGCAGTGCTCAGATCCTGGGGATCAAATAACCGGGTCATCTGTGTCCTTCCCGCTGAACTCTCTGGCCACTAAGGTGTAGTTCTATTTATTTTTATTTTGTAGCTTGTTGGTTTTTTTTTTCCCTCATGGAGGTTTTGTGATTTATAATGCTGTTGTTACATGATGGTTTCTCATGCACGTAAGTCTTAACACCACACCCAACACCAGGATACCCACCTCTGTCCCCCAAGAACCCAAAGCCCCTTCCCTTTCAGCCCTGCGTATGTAGTTTTATTTATTACTTTCAGATTGTAACAGGGCCGTCTCAGTGCACGTGTGGCACAGAATTAGCCCTCTCCCTACCTCTGCCCTGGGTGCTTTTTTAAAATTTCATTGTAGACACTGTGATTTACAGTATTTCCTGCATAAAACATTCCGTTACCACATCCTCTGCCAGTGTCAGCTGCTCTCCGCCTCGTCCCACGGTCCCCTCTTCCCTCTGTTTCCACCCCGTCCCTCCTGAAGCATGTTTCCTTCTAAGGCCTAGGTCTCACTTCCTGTTGCCTTTGGGAATTGGTTGTTTCCTTTCTAAGTTTCTTTATATCCCAGAGGTGAGAGAGATCAATTTTTAATTTTTTTCTCTCTATTCCACAGGTGAGAGATCTTTTGGTCTCTCACTCAGAGATCTTTCTCTTCCTTACTCAGCATGATACTCTCTTGCTCTCTGTCTCTCTGTCTCCGCCCCCCCCATCCTTCCCTCTCCCTCTTTTTTTTTGTGGGGGGTGGGGGGCCACGCCCGCTGGGTTGTGCTAAGTGCTTACTTTGAGCTCCAGGGATCACTCCTGATGGACTCAGGGGGACCATTTGGGATGCTGGGGTTTGAACCCCATTCGTCCCATGCAAGGCAAGTGGATTATGTATTTGCCTGTACTGTTGTATATTACCTGTACTGTTATGCACTTGCCTCTACCTGTACCCACTGTACTCTGGCTCCTGCTGGTTTTTATCTTGTTCGTTTTGTTTCGGGGCCACACTCAGCGATGCTCAGGGGTTACCCCCAGCTGCACGCTCAGGAGGAATTACTCCTAGCAGTGCCCAGGGGATAAATGGGAAGCAGGGGATAGAACCCAGGTCAGGAGCATGCAAGGCAAGTGCCTTACACTCACCCCCCTCATTGCATCTTTTTTTTTTTTAATCCATATAAGTAGTAGTCCATTGCGTATATGAGTATTAATTTCTTTATCCAATGAGCTTTTGTTTTTCTGGTACTAGGTATCGCACTCAGGTCATGTATGCTAGCCATGAATTTTATAACTCAGCCACATTCCTCAGTGGTATCTCTCCCTACCCCTCCCTCTGCTGTTGCTTCAGTGACCATACAGGGTGCTGAGGATTTAACCCAGGTTGACAACATACAAAGCAAGTTGCCCACCTACTGTACTATCTCTCTGGCCACCCCGGGGTGTTTTTTTAGGCTATGGAGCTGTTTTCTGGGCCCCTTTTCTCTGGGGATCACAAACAGTGGGGCTGCCCACCGCACCTGAGACCTGACAGCAGACACACCAGCATTTGCACTCGTGACCTGCTTCAGAGCCTGTATCATCGCACCATCTTTTTCAGGCCCATAGTTCTCTGAAAGGAAATAGTAACATCTGGAGCTATCACATATTCAGATCTTTGTTATTTCCAGATACTGATCTCAGGGTCTAATGTGAGGTGTTTGTATTTTAAATCTTAAGGAAGGCACTCAGTTTTCATGTAATGGTAGGAAGTAATGGAATTTAAGGTATTGTCACAGATCTAGTGGAAGATTTAACGCCTGTCTGTCTGGCTCCAGAGCCTGGGCTCTGAACTATTGTTGTTGCAGTGTTTGGGCATTCATTTCTTGCTGCTTGAGAAAAGAGATGCCATAATGCATTTGTGTAAAATTTAAAAAGCAGCCTCATTGCCTTCTAATTGAGCCCTGTTGGGTAAGTTGGGGTGATGCGTGATTGTCTCAATTATCGAGGGAAATTGGAGATAATAGCCCCAATACCTGGATTTAGGCTTTTAAACTATGTTTAGTTTTAAAAGTAGTGTAGTTTTTTTTTTTTTTAAGGCTTGGGATTGTCTAAAAGGACAGGATATTCTTGAGTATCATTAATTAGTGTTGGCCCAGTCATCAAACAGTACTCTTATATTCTACCTGCCTGACTTAGAAAATAGGATTGGGGACAGTCTTGGGGTGAAGTGGGGTAAAAAGCCTTTTTCTTTTTTTCTTAAATGTTTTATTTTTAAATTTTTATTTTGGTTTCGGGGTCACACCTGGCAGTGCTCAGGGTTTAATCCTGACTCTGCAGTCAGGAATCACTCCTGTGGGGCTGGTGGGGGCAGATCATAATGGGATGCCAGGGACTGAACCTGGCTCAGGTGTTTGCAAGGCAAGCACCCTACCTATTATACTGTTGCTCTGGCCCCTTTGTTTTTTTTTACTGGAACAACATTGCTTTAGGACATATGTTTCAGGTGTGCATCATTAAAAATCAACATAT